GGAGTTAGCAGTAGAATGTCTAGGGCCTAAGTGTTGCCAGTGACTCAGAGGATGGCATCAGAGTTGAGGAGTATTCCATTAGAAGCACTTCCTGTTGCAGGACCGCCCAGGGCAGCTGCCTGGAATCAGCATGCAGCTGAGGAAGGAGGTGGGCACGGAAAAAGGGGTTAAAGAGTGTTTGGTTCATACTCATAGTTAATACCAGACATGATAGAGGACAGCATAGGAAGGAGGCAGTTCTTTGTTATTTTCTCCCTTGATGAACACTTAGAGGAAAATGAACAAAAGGAAAACGAAGTATAAGAAAAAGGAGTTTTAAGTCCTGGAGATGAAAATTAGGGAATTTCAACAAGGGCCACTTTAAAGGAGGAATTGGGAAATGGTCAGTAGCAGCGAATCTTCGGAGAGTATGAAGGCTGTTTGGATGAAAGCAAACCAGCCAATAATGAAGCATAAGGGTAAGCAAGCTGGTGTTCTCTCCCTGCTGCTCAGTGCTCAGGGCTGAAGGCTGGACTCAGACCACGAGCTGATTGCAGAGGGAGTCAGGTGCAGCGTCTGTAGCAGGGTCTGTATCTACACCTGCTTTCTTCTAACCCGTGCCAAAAGGAGGAGGTGGCGACATTTCTCACCGCCTATTGGGGAATCCTCTGACCCCAGGCACCATGCTTAGCACTGACATAAACCTGAATTCTCTTGTTATTTCTGTACTTTATGTGCTGTTGCTTCAGGGGACTCAATATCTTGCCTGTTTCTGAAGCCGCTAAGTGATAAAGAAAAGAAACACAGGTCAGCGTAACTCCAAAGTCCATGCCATTTTAATTTTTATCAGGATACTTTGTCTTTGGTACTTCCAATTTCCTGGCCCAACCTTTGTCCACCGTTAGGAATTCCAAGTGCTCTTCAGACCTATTCTGCCTCAATGAAACCTAAGGAAATATCTGAAATATGTGTGGCATTTTGGAGAGACTATTTGGTTTGATACCTGAGGGAATCAAATCGTGGCTTATCTTTGTGATTTGGGGCGTTTTACTGAAAAACGTTGTTTATTTTGAGGTTCTCTGTTTCCTGAGCTGTGAAATGTTCATAAAAGTGTTTTGAACAGTCTTAGTGCAATGCAAGTATAAAATGTTCTGATCACAGTGTGAATTGAAGTCAGTGTGCTGCCTTCTCTAGAATTCTTCACATGTTAGGAGCTTTAATTATAATTGCTTTAGTTAAACATATTGAACATCGCTTTGGTGTAAAGAACTACAGAAACTTACAGTTAAACCAAGAGAAAATCTTTTGCCTCTTAGAAAAAGAAATATCAACAGTAAGGAACAGAAGGGATCTATCTGGCCAGTGAGGATAGAGTGACCGTTCTCTGTGTATCTAAAAAGAGAGAGGAAAGCATTTTTGTATTGGAGGCAAAGGATAAAGAGAATTTCTGATGGAAAACAGTGTCAGAAGTCTTTGATGTGTGGTTTTGGCGTCTGAAAGTTCCCTCCATCATCTCTTTGTCCTTATATAGCCTTGTGTTTGGAGTATTTAGCAGAGGGGAAGTTTGTGTTCAGCCTCAGATTCTTCATCTGAGTCACAGCCCAATTTTGGTCACTTGAGCTCTCATTTTTCAAATAAGGAAGAAAATATTCCTTATGCTATAAAGGAAATAATATCACAAATAATTGAAGACTATACAGCACGTTGGCTTTTCGAATGAAATGTGTTATGAAATAATAATTGTGAATTTCCTCCACTCTTATGGCACTTTCAGTCAATAGTATCATTTCTAAACAGCCTAAAAGCCATATGCAATTATTTAAAATTAAAAAGCTAATAAATAAAACAGCTCTTAAGTACTCCTAGGCTGAATGTAAAAGAAAACACTCCTTAAAAAATAAAGTTAGGTTAAGCCACTGCCCCATCTTTATGGACACATCCTGAGGTGTTAGACATAATTTGCAATTTCCACCTTCGTGAATAGCAGAAGAGTTAGAAATGTAGAAGGATCCAATCTGGAGTTCTTAGAGAATCCTGTGCCTGGCTCTGTCCACGTAGCTGGTACTACGATACTCAGGCTGGGGCATCAGCAACACAGGTATGGACAAGCCAGTAAGAAATTCAGTGGGGTCGTCTAAGGCATTGTTTTTTGTCTAGGAATTGCTTTTTGTCTTCTAATTAGCTGTTGAAAAGGAACGTGCACTTTAGAGTTCTCTGCTAGTTGAGCAGGCACTAAAGCTCCTAACACATTCATTGCAGTGCAATGTTAAGAGCAATAAAATTATGCAGGTTTTTCTTACTCTTTTCTACCAGATCATTTAAATTGCTCTTTGCTGTACCTTCCTACACTGAAGGTTGTTGTTTTGGCCCCAGTGGTAGGTGGTAAATAAATAGAATTGAACAGCTTCAGAATGGAACTAGAGGTAAAGCTATCCAAAGTCCTTAAATCCTGGATCAGAACCAGGCAGTGCTAGGCAAGAAGCCTCAATTCCCAGCAGCTTCCCAATCTAAAACATCTGTTTCTGCATTTGGCAAAATTCCACTTTTTTTTACTTGTAAAATTGTTCCCATCTTTGAAAACACTTTAAAAAATAAAGAAGTCCCCATTCTGTCTCCTTTTTCCACCCCCCAACACATGCATTTGTAATTACCTGGTTTAGTCTGTGTGTTTAATCAGTTTAAATTGAGAATGCTGTGTACATCTGATTTCAATCTGAAGGGGCCATTGAGTATTGGGCAGTTACCACCCTTGTGTCTGCCAAAATGTGCCTCTGCCAAAAAACGGATAGGACTCACACCCCAGGGTATTTCCTAAAGAAGCCACTTGACTCAGATTAGATGTTTAATTTCCTTAAAATATTGTTTTGGATTTGGGTCTCTGTTCTCTAATTGGGATTTTCTGATGTAATTTAGGAATATCGCTTATTTGCTGAGTTTGTTCCAGGATCCAGCTGGCAGTCTTCTAAACACTAAGCCTCACGGAAGTAACTTCACTCCAAGCCCTGAGTATCATACCTCACTTCTTTGAAGGGTGGGCCAGGCCTGTGTTTATTCATGTCTTTGTGGGGCCCATCGTCCATGCAATGCAGTGAGATTAATTTTGAGGGAGGAGGGCATTAATTTTGAGGGGTAATGGTAATGAGGCCTCTGATTAGAGGTTCACCTCTTTTGAGATATTTTCCTAATTGTAGTAGAAAAAAATACTTTGTTCTAAGTTCTAGTACTGACTATTTATTTTGGCTTCATTTTTTTTTTTTTTTTTTTTTTTTTTGACTGACAAACAGCCAAGTTGTGTCTAGATCTCTTTAGCTAACTTCGCGTAAAATGCCTCCCATTGGCCAGAGTTTGAGATCATAAGTTTATTTTTTTCTCCCTGGGTCATAATTTTTGAATAGCAAAGAATGAGGGATATAGATTTAAGCTCTTTCTAAAAGTTTTAAACCAGAGTTCTTAGTCTTCTGGCGTTTGAAAGCCTCTAAGAACCTTTTTATTTGTTGTAGTATGACCACTAGGAAGCCCCTCAGGCATTTCGCACAGTAGCTGTGTCTTGGGGTGATGGACCAGCCCCCCACATGAGCCCATCTTGGGCTACTCAACCAGGGTGCTGAAAGCAGAACAGATGAAGGGAACACAGTGAGGACACTTGCAGTAATTATCTATGACAGGCTTTAAAAGACATCTATTTTAATTGTGATATAACCACACACTGTCAGCTGGTTAGGGTTACTAGATTGTAGTGAGGAATTTGTTTTGCAAGAAAATAGTCAAAACCAATGAACACAAAGAATAAAAAAGCATGGCACAAAGCTAAGATCACTGGATGTTGCATTTAACAGTGGAATTGGTTTCGCCCTGGGAGCAAGGAGCACTTAACCGCGTAAATGAACATTTAAACTCAGTTTTCTGTGGTTTAGGCTCCTCCTAAAGGCCCTTGAGGCTACTGTCACAATTAGGCTTCTACCCGTTGCTCCTGCCTCCCTAGGGCCATCCCACACAGGTGTTCTGTCTGTAGGACTGCTCTGCTCTGATTCACGAGTTGTTCATCTTAAAGTTTAAGAAGCTAGGCAGCTGACCTGCCAGGGTGTGAGATTAGTCTCCTGCCTCTGCATGTGCCTCCATTCCCTCTGCTCTTCTGACTTTCCTGGGTTGCAAAGCAGCTACATCAGCGCTTTTTTCTTGGGCTACTGCAGCCAGCATGATGAAAACAAAACGGAAGTAGGGAACGCAGTGTGGTCACTCGCCTGCAAACACAATCGTTATTTACTCAGGTTTGGAATTTCTCATTTTTCAAAGCCGATGCAGACATCATCTGACTTAATCCTTTCACAAATACAGTATTTACGGAGCACCTACTATCTATCTGGCACTGGTGCTTAAAGTATATCACAGTAAAATAAGTTCAAGGCTCCTGCCCTCCAGGTTCCTGAGGTAAAGAGGGTTGTTTTAAGACTTCCTGGGGTTTGGTTGTCAGATACACTAAGTGTGGTGGGAAGAACCGAACGCACCAGGCGCTTACAAGCGCCCTGCCTGTGCCTATCTAGCCTTCCTCAGAAGGAGCAGGGAATAAAATGTTTCATCTGCTCCATCATATTTATTCTAATTCTAATGCAGCATGTGATAACTCCCTTTTGATTCTTGTTACAAGGAAGAAACTTCTGAACATTGTGATACTGGTATTAGAAAGAGGAAATATATTATTAGGTAGTAAAAGTGAATGGAGAATTTGGATTCAAAAATGGCCAAAACTAGAAAGAAAGGCTTTGATAGTAAAACTTGATAGAGTCTTTGAGTACTTTGTTCAGTGTCATAATGGTGGTTGATGGAGGAACTGGGACAATAATTAATGCCAGACCCTGCCTCTCACATACTCACTGTGTATATTGATGCACATACACCGGACTATGCGTTCTGACCATTAGTTCTAAAAATAAGGACACAGTGGCACCTAAGCCTGTTTATCAGACTTTTGCCTTGACAGTACGTTCACCTGGGATCTCTCTCTCTCTTTCTCTCTCCTTCAGAGTTGCTGGAATTGTGGCCGTAAAGCAAGTGAGACCTGCAGTGGGTGTAACACAGCACGATATTGTGGCTCCTTTTGCCAGCACAAAGACTGGGAGAAGCACCACCACATCTGTGGACAGACCCTGCAGGCACCGCAGCAGGGAGACACACCCGCCGTCAGCTCCTCCGTCACACCCAGCAGCGGGGCGGGGAGCCCAATGGACACACCACCAGCAGCCACTCCGAGGTCAACCACCCCGGGGACCCCTTCCACCATAGAGACAACCCCTCGCTAGAAGCGAACTCAGAACTGTTGGAGGAAAGACAACGCAACCAATATGAAACCAGTTCCTCATCCTCAGATGCTCAAAGTCATGTTTCTGTTTGTTTGTTTATATATGAACTATCCTATTTCAGTACTTCAGCAAGAGCAAACCTGACTGTATCTTGAGGCGGTAGTAAGACGCAGAGGGCCAGTAACGGGTCGTAATGACTTATTATGGATAACAAAGATATCTTTTCTTTAGAGAACTGAAAAGAGAGCAGAGAATATAACATGAAATGCTAGATTTGACCTCCTCCCTGTTATTTTCAAGTAGCTGGGATTTTAAACTAGATGACCTCATTAACCGATGCTTTACCAAACAGCAAACCAAGAGATTGCTAATTGCTGTTGAAAGCAAAAATGCTAATATTAAAAGTCACAATGTTCTTTATATACAATAATGAAAAAAAAAAAAAAAAGAGGAAACCCCTCAAGGGCATGAGCATTGGATACAGCAGTAGACATTTTAACCAGAAGATGAATGGCGTCCGTGGGTTGCTAACTGAACTTTGAAGACCTGCTACAGAACGCACAGATGCGCAGCAGATTGGAAGGAGACACAGATGTTCAGTTTTTTTTCCTGTTTCTGAAAGGAAATTATAATATCCAGGTCAACAGAATGGAAAATGAAAGATGATTTGCAGTGGGATGTATGAATACAGCAAGAAAAAAATGCCATAATACAAAGGCTCCTTTTTTATATAAATATATATATATATATATATATATATATATATATATATAATACATGCACATACACACACAGAAGTAAGAGACTCAGCCTGCAGTTAATTAGCATTCTGGCAGCTTCAACATCAGCCAGCTGCCCTGCATAACCCTTCAACGTTTCTTCACTTTTGCAAGGTTCCACAGAGTAAGACATTGGGTCTATTCCAGCTCATTCATTTTATATTGAAAAAAATAATTTTAAAAAATAATGGTGGCTCCAGCTTCAGCCCCTTTCCAAAATTTTTTCAACCCCACCCTGTTTGGATTTTTAATTAAAAACTAGTAGTTCTCTTGGTGTGAAAACACTTCTGTCCTGTGAGGTTTCCCAATGGTGTTTTTCTTGTAAATGTGTTGGACAAATGTGAAGATGCATTGTAGTTTACCCATACGCCCACATTTAGTCTCTTTATTCCTAGTTGGTGAGAAACCTGTATCTTTCTATGCTGCTTTTATATCTGTATGTATTAGTGATATTTCTCTAGTAGTTAAAAAAAAAAAAAAGAAAAAAGAAAAAAATCTTTTTGGTTGTCCTCAAGAAAAGAAAAGAAAAAAAGCTATCTTTCGGAGCTGCTATTTCACTCTCTTATAGGATTTTTTTTTTTCCTGAAAACCAGCATGCTTCACGGAATGCTAACATATTGGTGTTTTTGTAAGAGGGATGTACATAAATGTATTTTGCACTGTCACAATGACTCCCTTGGCATGCTTTTTTTTCCAAGCAAACTTTTTAAAATATGCTAGAGCCATTTCACCAATTTTAGCTGTAGCATAGAGTAGTAGTGGAATTTTTCTTTTCTTTTTTTCTTGTTCTTTTTTTGGTTTGGTTTGGTTTTCTTTTTTGGAAAAAAATCATTATTAGGGACTTTTTAAAAAAAAATAAGATATCCTACTTTTAAAAAAAAAGACAGTGCATGCATATTGCTGTAAGGTCGTTTAAGTATTTCTAATTTTACAAAAAAGAAAAAAAATCATTAGAGCTCCAAATGCTGAGGTGTAGACTGACAGCTTTAACACTGCTGAATGCTAGGTTATACAGTATTCTTACGAAAAGGGAAGTCAGCCAAAGACTGATCTGATGGACCAAAATCAGAATTTTGAAAAGCACCAGTACTACTTTCCAAATGATCAGCAGGTTAAACATGTTCAGCAAGGTATAGCGTGAATCCATTAACCCTTCGTTGTCCAGGGTCCAGACCAGAACTACTTGTTAGTTTTGAACACAGTAGCCCAGGATGTGGTTGTGTGCTTTATTAGAGTCGGCATTGCTGCAGGCTGTGTAGACAACCAAAGTTGACAAGGCTGGGAAACACTTCTCCACATACACGTACACCAGGCATTTCTTTACAAATTGAAAAGGATCCATTAGCTTTGTTGGGGAGGGGGTCAGTGTAACCCTGGGATGCAGTTTAAAGTGGCTTTTAAGTTATCTGCATAGAGGCAATCCTCGGATGGTTTGCTTTAAGTCTCTTAAATTTTAACGTTTTTCTTAAAGCATTTTCCCCCTGTATCTTCATATACACATTGTTTTTAGTTTCATTTGGATGGTGTTACTTTTTAATGGCTTTTTGCTTTAGAAAGTTCTGATGAGCAAATAAGTACATCTATCTGCATGTTGGAAGTACATCTGCCAGCACACCTGCTTAAAGTGAGATGAAAGCACATACCAGGCTCTGAATGGGTTATATTTTATCATGGTGCTCCCAGAATCCTTTGACCTCATTCTGCTTTCTAGTCTGCTTGTGACACTGGACAGTCCTTTCTTACAGAGCTATTATATGTTCTAGGCTACGAAGGGTTAAATAATCCCAAAAAAAATGAGGTATGTCATACCCACACGTCTTTAGAAGCTGTGATGTATGTGAAACAGCACTGTTATTCTTAACACTAGTGTGTAAAATAAGGATTAGTACAGTACGTCTCATTACTTTTTAATTCAGGGCACCCTGAGTGAAAACAA